GGATGGTTTAGGTCTGGGAACCATTTCTGGAAGGGATGGACCTCAGATCTTAAGGATTAAGGGTATTGTGGTTAAGACCTTGCATTGTCAAGCTTATAATTCGGGTTTTGGGACCTTTTGGTAGTCCCAGTGGATAAAGTTGGAAACTTTATCCTTCCTAATCGCATTTGTGGTCTAGATCTGAGCCTTGGAGCTCTTGGGGTCGAAAAGGCAGCTGAATGTATTAAGTTGTTGGAACTCTAGCAAACACGAGGTGTTTGCATGTCAACACAGCATGTTGGCTGAAGTTTTCATGTCTGTTTGGATGCTCGCGGAACACGATGTGGTCAAAGGGAACACGACGTGTTGGGTCAACATGGACTGTTGACCTTGACCGTTGACTTTGACTAAGTTGGACTTTGAGGGTATTTTGGGTATTTTAGAGTCTTATGGAAATTGGTCATTAAATGGAATTAGGTATCGTGTAAAGAGCTGAGATTCGGAGTCGGGCCTCATCAGTTCTATTCAGTTTGCGAGGTGAGTTGTCCTCACTGTACTTGCGGGTCGAAGGCACCAATGCCGACCCTTCAGATTGTTATCCTGGTTTATCGTATGATTGAGTACTGTAGTGATCTGTCTGATCTGTATCCTGGTAGATAGGATGATGTTATGCTTAGTGATCTGCGAGATCTGTCTGATTATTATTGGCTAGTTATTTGCATGATTTTTTATTATGTATATATGTGTGTCGACACGATGTGTGTGTGTGGTTGGGTTGAGGCGGTCCTGCTTTGTGATGAAGGCCAACAGACCCAGGGGGCCCGGATAGACTAAAGGCCCGTGAGGCGGACCATTCAGGCCGAAAGGCCGGAGAACGGTCCAGATAGGCTGAAGGCCCGGTGAGGCGGTCCAATCATGTTGAAGGTTCTGTATGCATGATGTTTTCTGTTATGATTATTATGATTATGTGTTGTGTTGGTACTTTGGGGGAAACTCACTAAGCTTTGGGCTTACAGTTTTGAATTATGTTTCAGGTACTGCCGAGGATCGCGGAAAGACGAAAGTGTGATCTTGCACCTCCTCGTGTTTGTTTTTTGTGATTTTGGGAAAACTCTGATATTAGACATGTTTGAAAGCTATTTTGTAAACAATGATGCATTTTGGGGTTATTTAAAAAGTTTAGTTTTTTCATGAATTTTATGGATGTTACATCAAACAAAGAATCAGACATACCATTGAAAATATGACCACGAAAGATGTAGTCATCATTTTCCCACTTTGATCTTCTCCTTGTTGCTTCAAAATTTTCATCTTCAGCAAATTCTGGCATGGGCGTACTCAGAATATACATCACTTTCAGAGTAGTGAGGAGAAAGTGCATCTTCTTCTGCCATCTACAAAAATCTTGCCCTTCAAACTTGTTCAGTTTGTCAAACTTGCTTGTCATGTCCTTCACAGATTCACCACTTGCCATGATCACAGAATGCTTTAATCTTTGTTAGAAAATCGGGGTATAGATATACTCGGATCAATAAGAGTTATGAAACACTTTCAGATTAAAGCATTCCGGGGGTACAATCAAAATCTCTAATCGGATGAAACTCATTGTTTTCTAGAATGGAGAATGAAGAAGATGTTAGGAATATCTGTACCCAAAACTGATTTCGAAATTGATCATATAACATGAACTAACTTCTTGTCTTAAAACTGCCATATGGTAGTTACAGGAAAATAATTTCTTGTCCAAAAACTGTCAAATTACCTGTCACAAACTAACATAAAACCGGGTCTATAAATGGATCAAAAACCCAGCCAGGGGATCTGCCCCTTGGACCCCGCTCCCAGGGGCGCTGCCCTCAGACCCCCGTCAGTTCAGGGGCTTCGTCCCTAAATAGCAGTATACTTTCAACAAAGACAAAATTAAACAAATGTGTACTTCTCACCATACCGATTTGTTCAATAATTGTCAAAGTGACATTGATCAACAAATTAACCTCATTACACTTAAATAATATTAGTGATATAAAATCACCAACATTTGGGACACATTTAGATACAAAGGAAAGAAGTCATGGTGATGTTATTACTAGTAGGATTGAAAATTTGATGACATCATGAACAAAACTTCTTTATGTGATTCTATAGTCTCGGGACTGAATCAAATCCGTACAACTTCTGGGCAAGAGGATGATTGACAAACCCTCGTTTCTCCAAGACACAAAATGTTTTTCAGCCATTAAGATTTTTCTAAGACATAAAATGATGTTTTTATGGTTTTACGATTTTATTAGTCATTAAAGACCTTATTTTAATCAATGGGAAAACTGCAATAAAGTCCTTACATATTGGCTTCATTATCGATTTAGTCCTTATATCTTTTTTTTTATTTAATTAAGTCCCAAAAATCGGTAATCGTATTAAATTTAACCATTTTACCCGGTCAACAGGTCATCCAACTTTCAAAAATTACATTTTTGGCCCAGATTTTAAAATTTATTACAAATTTGGTACAAAATTTACACTTTTGGCTTAGATTTTAAATTTTATTACAAATTTAGTCCAAAATTTATCATTTTTGCCCAAATTTTAGAATTTTGTTATGAATTCATCCTAACTTTAATTTTTTTACAACTTTTTTTCTCAAAATATTGTTTCGAATATGTTTTTTCTTTATAAAATCATATTTATACAAAAAAACATATTTTCACATAAAAAAATATTATATTTTCTATATAAAAACTTTTTTGTATACGCAATACCTATTTATAAAAATAGGTATTTATTAAGTACACAAATATATACAAATTCGTTTTTATAAAAAAAAATGTATACAAACATTTATTTTACAAAACAAAATGTATACAAACACCTATTTTATTATAAATACATTTGTATGCAAACACATATGTATAAAAAAATGTATACAAACACATATGTCATAATAAATGCATTTGTATTCAAACACGTTTATATATAAAATGTATACAAACACGTATTATATAAAAAATTATTCAAACACATTTTTATAAAAGAAATGTATACAAACGCGATTTTATTAAAAAATATAGATACACACCTATTTGTGTGCATATATATATATATATATATATATATATATATATATATATATATATATATATATATATATATATACTATGAAAATAGGTGTTTGTTTACATTTTTTTATAAATATGTGTTTATATACAAATGTATTTATAATAAAATAGGTGTTTGTATATATATATTTTTTTGTAAAATACATGTTTGTAAACATTTTTTTATAAAAAAGGATTTTTATGTATTTATTTACTTAATAAATACCTATTTTTATAAATAGATATTTCAAATACAAAAAAAGTTTTTATATAGAAAATATAAGATTTTTATGTGAAAATATGTTTTTTTGTATAATTATGATTTTATAAAGAAAAAACATATTCGAAACAAAATTTTGAAAGAAAAAGTTGTAAAAAAAAAACAAAGTTATGATGAATTTATAACAAAATTCTAAAATTTGGGCCAAAAGGGTAAATTTGGGACCAAATTTATAATAAAATTTCAAATTTGGGCCAAATATGTAAATTTTGGACCAAATTTGTAAATCTAGGCCAAAAATGTATTTTTTGAAAGTTGGATGATCTGTTGACCGGGTAAAATGGTTAAATTGAATATGATTACCGGTTTTTAGGACTTAATTGAATTAAAAAAAGATATAAGGACTAAATCGATTATGAAGTCAATATGTAACGACTTTATTGCAGTTTTCTCTTAATCAATTTTGGTCCGTAACCGATCCATGCCTGAACTATGTGGCAAATTCCCAGCCCAATGGGGCTTCTAGTGAGGAGCTTAAAACCTTAAAGTGTTGCATTATTGTTACGTGACAATCTAACCTCACAACTTAACGTTATATGCCACTTTTTCATGTTTTTTTGATCTGTAATCAATTATTGAAGCGTTAAAAGCTTTTAACGCCAATTATATAACTTGTAAGCATGAAACCATACTTTTGCATATGATTAACTAATAAACATCATGATATTTTGTGTGCAAACTTGTCTCAATTTGCATATTGAAATACACATGAAATCTCATACCACTTGATGGATAATACATATGAATATAATTGTTTCCCACTATTAAACAAGGCATTGCTTGATAAAGTTTTTTGCTATATCTTTTCATGTTAATTTTTAACTTGATTTTAATGGTTATACTTTTTATTATATTCTTAAAAGTTTAAATTTTATTTTAGAAGTAAATAATTAAATGGAGTATTACGGATGGAGTTGTTTAAAAAAAAAGGGGGTCAAAATATTAGGCTTAAGGGAGTGGGAGGTGTTAAGCCTCGCCACCTCCCTCGCTAGTAAAGTGTTACCCCATGGCCCATTCATTCCCATTTGCCACCCAATTCGCCAAATGTGTTTGGCCAAAGATGTAGCCTGAAGAGAGAGGAAAGAGAAAATGGTTAGCTGAGTTATGATTGGTTGTTCCCTTTTTATATTTTTTCTATTAAGTTTTTTTTTTCAAACTAAACCTGTTAAAATAACACACCACCACTCCTTATCAAATGCTAAAAATCAGACGTTAAAAGAAAAAATTGACATGACATTCAAAAAACTGATTTGGAAAGATGCTAGGAGTGTTATCACTTCCCCTAGCCTTAGTAAAAGTTGACAAAACGGATGGGGATCACGCTCACCAGCGGGATGATAACAATAACGTTAGACGAAATTCCCAAACTACCCTTTACTTCTTTCCTATAAAACCTCCTGCTTTCCCTAACCCTTCCATCATCCCCCTTTTCCGACCTCCGATCACCGGTCACCGGTCACATCCTTTTCCGAGGTTAATCTGTTACAGAACTGGCCAACTTTCAAGAAGCTCTGGAGGATTCCGGCAACGGGAGCGTGGTGCTCTCCCTATACCATGCGTTAAGCTCTCGCGACGTCCAAGTCGTACACAAACTCTTAGCTCCTGATCTCGAGTGGTGGTTTCATGGCCCTCCGTCTCATCAGTTTATGATGCGATTGCTCACCGGAACTGATAACGAAATCACCGACTCCTTTGAATTCGTGCCTCTTTCGATTGACGCCTTCGGATCTACAGTCATCGTCGAAGGCTGCGATCAACGCCGTGATATCTCCTGGATACACGCCTGGACTGTCAACTCGCATGGGATAATCACACAGGTTAGGGAATACTTCAACACTTCCCTCACTGTGACTCGGTTCCTTAACTCTACCAAACCTGTTTCCGTTACTTCGTTACATTGCCCTTCCGTTTGGGAGAGTAGTCTCGCTAATCGCGTCGGAAAATCTGTTCCTGGTTTAGTTTTAGCAATATAAAATAAGGATAACATCAGTTAATAAGAGCAAATCAAAGTCGTTTTGGATTTTGATTTTGATACAAGTAGAACTACCGTGGTATCCTGCCTCTGAGAGGATGTAAGATATTCACGGCTAGTTTATGTGGTTATCAATTTCGTTTTCTGCTAGCTGTGTTTGAGAATAAGTGTAGTACATCATGTTGATGCTACCCTATTTGTGTTCAATCTATTTCGTTGAAATAAAATCGTACGTTTGTTTTATAATAAAATTGCATTATATTGATTTCCGAATTTTTGTAGTTCTACAAGATATGGATTTTAAGCTATGTTCTTGGATGTTATTACACACATTATCAAGGTTTATTCGTTAAATCAACCATAAGAATTGCATCCCTTTTAACCTTTGTAGTATAAAAGTGGTAAAATGTATCTTGAAGCTGATTTTTGATTATTTAATAATGTTAGCAACGATTTATTTGATTTTATTCGATTTGTCTGATTCTCTCTTCTTTCTTTAATTATTATAGTAGTATGTTACTTTTCATACTCAAGAACACAATATTAAAATCAGATTTTGTTTTAGGATATTATTATTCTTAAACAAATTAAAGTTAAGGTATCTAACTTCGAGCCTTTTTTGGAATACCTTAGGCTTAACATAATAAATATCTAAAAGGATTGAACATGAGAATAGTGCATGTAGCAAATAGATTTGGAATCTTTATAACTTTATTTCACTTTCATTCATGTTTGGATGCCAGTTTTTTATGAGGATATGCTTTCAAGTTTCAACATTATCCCTTTTGCCAATGCACCACACTCATACACATTAAATGGGTGCATATTTCAAAATGTTTTTCAATAATATCTTGCAAACATATACATCCATGAATCATTAATTGTACATGGCATTATGTTTTGTAGAATATACAAGAACAATCCAAATCTAGCATACCACAAACGACAAAAGAATGTTAACTAAAGAAGCTCGACCCTAAGGCATATAAAACCTAATAATCTTAGAAAGCTTAACTATGAAATAGTAAAATCAAATGTACAAAACGTAGCATACTTTTTTTTTCTTTTTATCTTTTCTCTAAATATATACTTCCATGAAATATTAGTTACTCTTTTAATACCAAGAGTCTTCAAGCAATCCGGTGTGATACAACAAAAATATGAGGTTGATTGGTACACAATAATTTGTGTTTTAAAATGTTATATTGTACAACTCTATAAAATGTAAATTGTTATGTACGGAGAAAAAATATTGTGTACGAATCACTTTTTTTAAAATATTGGTAAAAAGGAAAAGAAATAAGAAAGTAATGATTGATATCGAGGCTTTTACTAGCCATAATACATTGTAGCCATGTAATGGGAGTCGTTGAGGAGTAAAATTCCACACAGGAGTTCTACTTCAAACTCTAACAAATTAAAAATATTATTATTGTTTTGCAATTGACCTCCTATATAGACATTGAGACGGATTGACATGGGTCGTTTAAATGGTATCAATTACCAATTTTCTTTTCAATATATTATATGATCCTAGAAGACAAAGCAACTATCATCGACTAATATAGAAAAATGTAACATTAAATAAAAGTCCAGGGACCATTCTGTCAATAGAAAGAAGATGTCAAGATGACCACAAAGTAGTTCAACGCATCAATGGCTTCCAACTCTTTTCAAAATTCCAGTTAGGCTTCTTGTGATATGTTTTTGTTTTATTTTCACGTAAGCAATAAAATTTCAGTTGTTGTTACTATCTTTCTTTTCTTTATGTGGTTTCATTATTATAACAAAGTGGTATCAGGCTCCAACGGAAAAGATCAATCGGAGTTTCTTGCATGATCTTTGGATATGTTTTTTTGTATTGACCTTGAGTTTCTCTATTTTCTCCATAGATATCATTTCCTATTTTTCCCCTTAATCATAGGTCAATCTTCTCCCTGTTTCCTTAGTTATTTTGTTCCCTCCTGTATTTATATTTCCTTTTCTTTGTACCCTAAACGTATGAATGAAAAATACTTTTTCGAGTGATCAATTTTGATATGGTATCATAGCGGTGTTAAACTAAAACTCGAAGGAGGCAATCATGCCTGAAGAGAAAGAAAACAAAGATGATGAAGGGAGTAGCGGTGGTGCTTCTGATCACAACTCACCTTATTACCTCCATGCCTCTGATTATCCATGGAAAATGCACGTTAATGATGTGCTTAAAGATGCAAACTACCTGGATTGCTTAGAGAAAATGTTGAATTTCCTGTTTGCTAAGAACAAGATTGGCTTCATTGGTGGATCAATCAAGAAACCTGCACCTAATTCAAAGGATTACATAGGTTGGATGAGGTGTGACGCCATGATCAAAGGGTGGTTAAACACTGCCATGGAGAAAGAAATCAGAACGAGCGAGAAGTATGCAACGACGACTCAAGAGATCTGGGAAGATTTAAAAGAACGATTTGGAAAGAGGAATGCCTCTAGAGCATATGAAGTAAAGCAATCACTTAGCACCATCAAGAAAAAAGGGTTATCTGTCTCGACCTATTACACAAAATTGTGTGGGCTATGGGACAAAATCCAATATGCTTTTCTAACACCCACGTGTGACTGCAATGGTTGTACCTGTGGGATCGGTAAGAGGCTCCGAGAACAAAAGGATACTGAGAGACTATGAGTTTTTGTTGGGATTAGATGTTGAGTTTGGAATCATTAAGACTCAAATCCTTTCTATGCAACTGACACCAAGTCTAGGGATTGCTTACCATATGGTGGCAGATGATGAACAACAAAGGGTTGTGTCCAAGGCCAAGAGAACAACAACAGATGCCACTGCGTTTCAAGCTTTTGTTCCGGCAAAAAGGGATCAGAAGCAACCAAACAAGTTCGAGCGAAGAGACGGGAAACGTAATGTTGGTGATCTAGTTGAACATTGTAACTTTTGTGGTAAAGATGGACACAACAGAGATGGTTGTTTCAAGAGAATTGGGTATCCAGAGTGGTGGCCCGCGAAAGGGAAACAATCCAAACCAAGAGTTGCATGTGTTGAAGGCGAAACCAGTCTCATTCCAGGGTTAAGTGAAGAACAAAACAAATAATTTGCAAAGTTCTTTGAAGGCAAGGCAGGAGCAGCAAAAGAAGTAAGACAACTTGTTGCAAACATGACAGGTAACCTTGGTGAAGAGGGTAAGTGGTTCATTAACTCAGGTGCCACCGACCACATCACATATGATGATGTTTTTCTCAAAAATAAAACTAAAGGATCTCATGAGGCACCGGTTATTATACCAAATGGTGCCACCATACCTATTAAGGGTCGTGGGGATTGCACCCTTCCAAATGGGATGACAGTCAAAGATGTCCTCCATATACCAGAATTCACATGCAACTTGTTATCAGTGAGTAAATTATCTAATGATTTAGAATGTGTTGTAACATTTTTTCCAAAATTTTATGTCATGCAGAGCCTGTATTCGAAAGAATTGATTGGAGCGGGTTATTGTGTAAAAGGTCTATATAGGATGGGGATGATGACAAAAAATAGACAAGCGATGATGACAACTCCTAGTACATGGCACAAGCGACTAGGTCACTCGTCTATCTCTAAACATAATGGTGTTGGTCTTGTTAAAGATGTTTTCTTGAAGGGTTTTTGTGATTCTTTTAATAAAGCAAAATTTGCTAGACTTCCATTCCCAGCTAGTAAAACAAAAACAGTTGCTCGTTTTGATCTCATTGTGATGTTTGGGGTAAATATCGAACACCCTTTTTTACACGAGTTAATTACTTTCTTACAATAGTTGATGATTTTAGTCATGAAATTTGGGTTTTTCTCCTCAAGCACTAACATGAAGCTAGCGTTCAACTTGTTAACTTTCATAAAATGATTCAAGTGCAATTCGAGAAAAACATAAAAAGAATACGGTAAGACAATGGAGGCGAATTTACGTCAAACGGCATGCTCAACTTTTATGCGAAAGAAGGGATCGTTCTTGAAACAACATGTCCCCACACACCTCAGCAAAATGGTGTGGTCGAGAGAAAGCATCGTCATCTTTTAGAAACCGCTAGGGCTCTAAAGTTCAAAGCGAATCTTCCTACAATGTTTTGGGGGGAGTGCGTACTAACAACCACTCACATCATAAATCGTCTTCCTTTGGATGTGATAGATGGAAAGACGCCTTATGAACCAGTGAGCAACGAGAAGTCGGAGTATGAACAACTGAAGGTGTTTGGGTGTTTCACATACTTTCGAAGCACCGAAACCAAAAGGGATAAATTTGAGCCAAGAGGGAGACCGGGGTTTTTTTTGGGTTACCCTCGGGGCACCAAAGGATACAAGATATATGAACTTGAACGTAAGAAGATCATGGCTACAAGGGATGTAAATTTTATAGAGAATGCCTTTCCTTTTGCAAAGTCAAAAATAACAGAAAAAGAAGAGATTTTTGTTTACCCCAAATACTGGGAGGACGAATCCCTACATAAAAATGAAAGACGAAATGATGGAAACATCACAAATGAAATGGAACACAATGAGGAGCCTGGACATGATAGGGAACCCACAGATGATAATGATGGGCTTATGCAAGACAACAATATGGACCAAGGAACTCAAGGTGAAGAACAGTCGGGTGAGATTCCAAATGGACCTGAAGATCAAGAATCAATTGTTGAAGACATGAATGCTAGAACTAAGCCTGAAGTGTAAAGGAGATCAGCGAGAAACAAGTTCAAATCTACACACCTTCAAGACTTTCACGTAAAGTTGCCCCCATCCTTAGACCACGTGCATTCCACTCCTAACTGTGATCATGAACCTTCGACGGTACACCATATAGCACATTTTATTTCATATAATAATTTTTCTGACTCACATAAGGCTTTTATGGCGACCATTACCCAACATAATGAGCCAAAATCTTTTGCCCAAGCTGTTCAAGATCCAAGATGGGTGAAAGCTATGAAGGCGGAAGTTAAAGCTCTAGAAGAAAATGGAACCTGGGCACTCCA